GGTGCAGTGGTTGAGAGTCCGCCTGCCGATGCAGGGGACACGGGTTCGTGCCCCGGTGCGGGAAGATCCCACAGGCCACGGAGCGGCTGGGCCCGTGAGCCATGGCCACTGAGCCTGTGCATCCGGAGCCTGTGCTCCGCAACGGGAGAGGCCACAACAGTGAGAGGCCCGCGTACCGCAAAAAAAAAAAAAAAAGGGGGAAGAAAAACACATTTTTTTCAGCTGGCTTACTGTGGCCTTGAGGCTTCCGCCTGGTCTGTCTGCAGTTTTTCTCCTCCTTCCACTTCCATTGTACAGTAAACAATTCGATTGGGAGCGACTGACTTCAAACCTTCCACTTCCATTATGACAATCTAAGGATAAGAAAAATGTTTCACTGATTCGTCAAGCTGACAACACTTAGCAATAGAGACGGCAGTATGAACTACATATGATTAGGAAGACCAACTGATAACATTATCTGGCAATATCATGGTATTTTATCTTCTTTATAATCCACCTTTATTCATGGAAGGCAAGTAACATTTTGAGAAAGTCTGGTATCTGAAGACGCATCTCCTGCCAGTTATGAGAGATTCAAGTCTCTAAATATGAGCCACAATGAAGTAAGTGAGATATAAACTCAGAGCCTGAAAAGAAATTATGGCAGGTCTGCACGAGGCAAAGCAGAATTATTAATGAAAATTCAGTGCATGTGTTAAAAGGATTCAGGTTGAATTCCACATAAGGCGACTGGTAGACACTGTCACCATCACACCAATTCATTGATATCAATACATGACGTCAGAAAATTTCTATGTTCACTTATTTTATATGACTACTAGCATTGATAAAAGAATTTTCTTCATAGCCACTGTTTACCTTATGAAAATATGGAAAATATAACTTGGCAATGAATATCTTACTATTAACTTGACAAGGAAAACAATTTTCCCCATCCATTAAAGGCATATACCAATTTGATGCAGTCTACTGGAAAAGGGTGGAAAGACTGATATTACCTTATATATTTGTAACTCCTGGGGGAAAGGGAAACATAGTTTTCAAGTGTGCTTTTTATGTCTGTATAAAAGACTGCCAATCTTAAAATATTGTAACCTAACATTCTTACTGGATGTACACATAAAATATAACTATTACTAAATATCATTTATAATAGTTTTTTAAAATCAAAACTTGCATCATGAAGTTTCCTAAATTCTCAAAATTAATAAAATATATTCAATGACCTTTTTATACATGCACATGTATTGATCTCCTGTTGTATATGTATAAACAAGGTTAATAGCATCATTCATGCCATGTAGCTACCAAAATATCCACTAAAAAGATGTGTGTCGGGGCTTCCCTGGTGGCGCAGTGGTTGAGAGTCTGCCTGCCGATGCAGGGGACGTGGGTTCGTGCCCCGGTCTGGGAAGATCCCACATGCTGCGGAGCGGCTGGGCCCATGAGCCATGGCCGCTGAGCCTGCACGTCCGGAGCCTGTGCGTCCGGAGCCTGTGCTCCGCAACGGGAGAGGCCACAACAGTGAGAGGCCCGCATACCGCAAAAACAAAACAAAACAAAACAAAACAAAAAAAAGATGTGTGTCATTTATTGATCTTTTAATACATTATGAAAATCATTACACTCTTCATAGAGTTCTGATATGAAAGTTCAGGCAAAAAGCCTCAAAGGAACAAACCATCTTAAAAGAAGTTTTCTTCCTTTCAGTTCTGGTACAACAGCTTTTTTTTTGTAAATACAAATGCCTATTATTTTTGTTGCATTTTTTTCATAAAAACATATGGGAAACTGATCACCAAAAAATACGGGTCAAATTCAGAACCATTTTCCTCCCTCAATCAAGGCTTTTGTCATTTTGTCACACTGAAACGCATACCAACGTATGAATTAAAATGAAGACAACTGAAAACAGACTATGAGAATTAATAGATAATAGTAACAGTTTTCACAGTTGCTCTAATACTCAAGGAAGTTTAGATGAAGTACTAAACATGAAGCAGAATTGAGTACACAAGATAAATCTAGAAATCTTGATGGCACTGGTTCCTATATGGGAATATGACTGTTTGTCCTGCATCTCTTTCTGTAGCGTGTTTAATAGCCAAAGTGCAAGAGAGAAGAAAGGAAGCATCTGCTTAACACTATTTCTGTCACCTCTACTACAAAGCTACTATAAACAGGGCCTCCTAAAACATACGAGTTGTGAAACAGTTTTCTGTCCCTCAAAACAATGCTCCCATCTGTTCCGGGAATGTTCTATCCTGCAGAATTGCCACTTTCAAAAGACGTAACTTCTGTTATGAATCCACACATATAAGTAAATAAAACACAGTTCTACAGATCTGACTTCCAAAAGGAATTTGAAAAGTGGAACTAGTCTCAATCATTAATGATAAAGGCAGCTAAGAATTCCATGGACCATCAACTAACCTAAGTTATCTTAGGCAACTGTTTCAACCAACTGCCAGTAAAACTTGATAATGAAACTACAGAAAATAAAACTGATCTGTGTTCTGCCTTTTCTTCCCAGATCTCTGGATAACTGATGTAATCAGGATAAAACAAAGTTATTCTACAAGCATAAAGAAGGGAGGCATGTACAAAATACGAAACCAGATAACACGCTTCTGAATAATGCATTGTCCACCCACAGAGTTACATGGCACTCAGGCATGTGCGGGTTGTGGGTAAAGGCAGCTGAGCAGTATGGTGAATAGGGGGACCACACACGTACCTCCAAACACAGAGGAGGTCACAGGGTCTGCCGGCCCTAGAACACTCAGTGTGAACATCAACTATATTCATGCCACTGACACCATTCCCCTTACAACAGACTCATAACTTCATGGATGAACGTTTTCCTAACCTTACTTGAATATTAAATTGTAACATACCATTGTTTAGCTTAGTGTTTTGTGAGTTAGCTTGTCTCTAGCTTTATAAGTCTCTCTGAAGCCTTCATAAATGAAGAGACGTAAGAGTAATCTTGTGAGGCTAACTGCTGTGTTTTGATACCATCAAAGTTCCCAATTCAATAAACAATTATTGAGTCAACTGTTTTAGGCTGTTGGCACTGTTTTAGGCTCCTGGGATACCTCAGTAAACAAAAAAGGAAAAAAAAAAGACTTTAACTTCCTAAAGCTTACATTCTAGTAAAGAAAGCCAGATAATGAATAATAAATATAATAAATAACTGATTTATATGTTAGGTGGTGTGGTGCAAGAAGGGAGGAGTGGGTAGAAATTTTAAAGAAATGATAAAATTTTTAGCAGTGTTTCAAATCTGCACTTATTCATTTGACTCAGACTTCAGTTCCTAGAAAAACTCCTTCTCCACTGGACCAGCCTGACAGATGAAATGTGAAACCCTTAAAATGGATTAACTGCTTGCCCTTCAGAGTTTTCTTAGGCTGAAATCTGGTGTCTGATGAGCAAGGCCTGGATAATGGGCAAGAGATAATTATTCAATTTAGCTAGGCTGAGGTCAGAGGCCTTGGGGCTGGAGGAGGTACCTGGTCCATTCCCTCAGGTGTCCCATAGACAAGCACTGTGTAGTCTGCCCTGAAAGAGACTTCATTTTGTTGTGAGACACAACTCCTCTTTAAAATACTGTAGGCAACATGGGACAGATCTGTACTATGCCATGATAGGAAAATATCTGCCTTATATAGACCTAGTAACAGAGGATGTCAAAACGATTGTAAAAATATGGAAGCTTCTCAGACCATGGCAAAATGAAGTTTTAACTCATTTCATCCTCCTGACACCCTTTTATTGCTAACTGAACAACCCTGTTTAACATACTGGCAATGGAGCACAGAATAACAATTCATAGTTTCACAAAAAAACTAACTCATGAGCATAATTTTGTTTTCAAAAGGGAAAGAGAATTCATAAAAGCTAATTACTTAACAATGGTGTAAGATTTTTAAACAACAGAGAAAAGAGAAAGTGTTTTGAACTGTTTTCAGTTCTGCATGCTTATAGAGATAATGGTAGGTTTAAACATTACACAAATCATTTGCTTTCTAAATTATTTTTTATTATTAATGAATTTAAATGCCAAACTCTTGTTAGAAAAAGTTAGACTGTAATTAAATAATTGACTTTGTTTTGTACAAAACCTTAAGAAAAAAAGAGTTGGCAGTTTTCATTTTAGTTGGCAGGAAGCCTGACGCAGGAATGATTGGGAAATTCTACACCTGAGATACTATGTAGTTTCAAATTAAACATCCTGAGGTTATGAGGTTAAACAGATTGAGAAGAAACCCAGGAACAAAGCCACTCGGCAAAGTTATTAGCTAATCCCTGAACTGGGTATGGAGTCAGAAGAAAATCTCCTATTTCTACCCTGACACTGAATTGAATCTATTAACCTACAAAGAAAATGTTAGCCTGGAAGGGAAGAAAGACAGGCAGTTGTCTTATCCTCAAGCTTGAATTTCTCTTAGAGTTGAGTAAGTGGAGGAAAGAACAGAAGCAGATATTTGCTTTTTCTGCCATAAACAAAGCAAGCCAAGTGTAAGAGGTATCAACAAAAAAATCTAAAGCTGTACCTCCTAAGACTCCACATATTTTGCTTTGTCAATGAGCAAACTCAAATAGCAGTACTGGGACCTAGCAGAGAGAGTACATAACAATGCAAGAAAGGAGTTACAAGCTTGAATTTTTGAGAGGCTAAAAATTTAAGCTGGATATTGCAAGCATATGTGTGGGTGTTGGGTATAAACCCATACACATATCCATGGATCGGCCCATATACAGAGTTTAGCAGTGAGGAAATGCCATCATGAAAAATATCCACAGGGAGCAGTAGAAGGGGTCAGGGATCAATGTCTTTGGTTTCCAGTGATCTGTATAAAAGGGATGAAACTCTGAAGTCTTGGGGAACACAATTTTAAATGCACAACATTTATTCTCGTTTCTTTTTAATGATATTTACTGTACCTGTAATGAAACGGCAAATCCTAGAAAGGAAGAAGTCTTTACTTCTCATCATCTATAGTACCCAATACTGTACATTACAGCTGGTTTATGCGATTTGATTCTAGAAAGATGATCTCGTAGTTAAAGCAGATTAAAAACAAGAATAACCAAAAGCTTGAAAGGAGTTTCCAAATTACAGAGAATTCAATTATGTGTTTAAATCCTATTTCCACTCAAGCATGTTTCAGTGCTTACTCTACCAATAAATTTCCACCAGCCTAGGTGGCGCCAAGAACACTTGCCTCAAAACTTGTATTATTTTATTATTTAATCCTAACACCACTGTTATGTTTAAAGGACAATTTGCGTTAATTTGCATTCACACTCTGATTGTCTAGCAAATGAAGAATAATTTAACTTCTTCAAAATATATTACATTGCTTTAAATTTGAAACGTTACCACCAAGGTCAGCGGAAATGACCCTGTAGCCTCATTTACACTGCCGGAAGCAAACGCGGGATAAAGCCACTTACCTCTAAGGTGAATGACAGCACCACGTCAGACTTTGACAGCTGAATCTCATTCTCATCTCCTATGTCCAAAAAGGCAGAATTCTGCGAACGTTTTAATTTTTGTAATTTAAATTCTGGACCACCTTTCGAAACTGGAAGACTCTCCAAATTGGCCATTAGCAAATTCACTGAAGACCGCAACTCTTCTATATACATATTCTCCATCTCTTTTGCTATAAATCTGGGGAATTTTCTTTCCTTGAAAATAATTTTTAAAATAATAATGTTACACAAGTCATATTTCAATTTTATCGTAAAAGATTATATTATGGATATATACTCGACTGTCTTAGAAATTGTGATGCTCAATGATACTTTAGTCGCTAGGCTTTAAAAGCCTCAGGCTTAGGCAATTTTGATTATATTTAACTGTACCTTATCTACCTTATGGAGGATCATTATCATAAAAAAGGAATCACATGATATACATTTTCAGCTTAACTTTATTTTTGATATGGTATTTATTTAAGGGAAAAACCAACTCTAAAAAACATACATGTAAAAAGTTTTAGTGTATAGATGAATCTTAATTAGCCACTGATATCTCTGAAATACTTGGAACAACTGGTCTATAAGAAGAATGTTCAGTATATACTGCTCTGACTGTTAAGAAACAAACATTTTAACAGTATCTCTCTTTCATACCACTGATGTGTTAGGCATTCAAATTGAAAAACCTTTACTACGAAATAGAAATATGGCCATACTTCTAAAATTAGTTAACTTTCATGTCATACAAATGTATCAAGATCCCTTATTGCCATAAATTCAGTTTTTTAGTAAAGGTTTAGAAAAAATTAAGTTTAAAGCCTAATGTAAATTTATGATAAAAGCTGTACATGAAAAAGTAATAATATTAGGAGATTCAATTTTCTTCCCAAATTACATGAGTGTTGCCATTCAGTCCTCAGACCTCTGCAATCAGACTTCTGCTTCCTTCACTCAGTTAAAAGGACATTCCAAGTATTGACACTTAGATAGATATTAACAGCTATTGCCAAATTGCCCTTCGAGAAGGTTATACCCATTTACATTCCCACAAATAGCAAGTGAGGTTTCCTCATACTCTTGGCTCTTTCTTTAACCTCTGACAGCCTGGCACTTAGGTCTTCTCTCTGAAAGGTAGAGGGTATACAGCTTTATGATGGGAAATGCGATGTAATGTAATGACAGCGGTATAAAACTGGCTGGGGGATGACAGCCTCAAGCTGCCATCATTCAAATGAATGACTGCCTAATGTTCCAGAAAAATCAATGCCTTTACTACCATTTCCTTTGGCACCATTCAAACTGTTACCTAAGAAATCCCCATCTCCAGGGTGAATGGAATACATCCACAATGCATTCATCAACCTACCCCTGGTCTGACTCACTTGCACCAGTTTGTTCATGGGCTGGAAAGGAGCATCTGGCACCACCTCATGAATCAGTCCCAGAGTCCTGGACCACCTGTTTTTCTTTTCCCCCAATATAACCTTGACATATTTCTTTTTAAAAATTTACATATAATCAATGTTAAAATTGCGTATTTATATCACAGAGAGATTAAATATCTACATCCATAATTAACTTTCCCAAGGAAGATTCTTAAGTATCCTTTTAATATTCCTCTATAGCTTGAAGCAACATTCCCACACAGTAAGTTTGCATCATCAGGAAAAACACATAACTACTCAGTTATATAATAACTTGGTTTCCTTTGGGGATGCAGGGAATAATGTTTTGGATAGTTTTTCAATACATGCAAAAGAGGAAAAAGATAAAATAAAGCATAAAAACATTTTTACATTTGTGGACTAATTTTAAAAGCTGTCATAAAAAGCATCCAAAACTCAGATATAAGGCAAAAAGGTGAGGGAACAGGTCCTTCCAACGTCATATGTGAGCAAAGGCCATCCAAGGACCATGTGGGGGAAATGTACCTAGTTCAATTTACCGTTTACATTGATTAAAGATCCTGTTTACAAGTGAAGTCACACGTTACTTTGTAGAATTTTGTGTGGTACAGATATAAATAATGTGTGTCTGGTGACTAAGATAATCCAATGGTTATAGTTTAAATCCCTGTTGGAAATTAACCACTGGATTTTTTTTTAACCACTTTTATATCTAATACTTGAATCTTATTTTAACTTTGCCTAAAAACACCTACTTTTCAAATGCCCTTCAGACTAGTTTTAACATTAGAAACATTTTAGCAAAGCAAAAGGCAAACATATCACATGTTTGAAAGTTTGGATGTACCAGTTATTTTCTCCAAATTTTTAAGGCGTTTTTTAATGGAAAACTTAGCATTAGCACATGAAAAAAAATCTATTCTTACTTAGCTTTCATTAAAAACACTTCAGTCATTATCATTTTTCAAGGAGGAGACTGGCAGGAATCACCCAAATTGACTGTTTCATCAGCATTTTCAAACTTTTCAGGAAATAGACTATACTAGATTTTCTTTTTCTCTCTGGGGAAAAAAACCCCAACAACTCTCTTTTAAAGCTTTAAGGTTTGTCGATAATATTTCATAAATTTTATTTAGCCTGCTTATGTTGCCTCTTTCTTGGAAACAAAACCAACTGTACAACTAATGTACATATTAAATTTGATCTTTTAAATTAGAACAGCATCAGAAATAGGGTTATTCTGTAGTTTACCTGTGAGTTGTTCCTATAAACCACAGTTTCAACGTTCTAATTTAGTCCTCTGTACAGCTTAGCCCATAAGCAGCCCTCACGCACTATATACATTAAAAAAAATTTGCTCCACAAAATTTCCATTATTCAACTTTAGTCACTGTAAGAGTTCTTAACTTTCCAGTAGATGAAGCATGGATCAGAGGGTAGGATGAACACGGTGACAACTGTCAGATCGTGGAAATATACTTTGAAGATAGATAGAAATGGATTTCCTGATAAATTTGGCATGAGGAGAAAAGGAGTCAAAGATGATTCCAAGTTTCTGACCCTGATGTACTAGAAAGATAGTACTGCCAAGAACTGGCCTACCCTGACCACTTGACTGGAAATTTTCAACACTCTCCTTCCCTCCCACATTCCCGATTCCACCTTCTCTGCTTTATTTTCTAAGTAGCAAATGTTCACCTTCCATAATTCAGTTACAGTAATTACTGTAAGTCTCTCCCAAATAAAATGTAAGCTCCCTGAGGGCATGGCAGGAATATTTTTGTCTGGTTTTATCCTAAGAGAACTACATTTGTCTGGATGTATCCCAAGTACCTAAAATAGTGCCTGGTTATCTTAACAGGTGTTCAAGAAATATTTATTCATTGAATTTATGAATAGCAAAATTCAGGCTCCAAAAGGTTAAATAAGTTGCCTATATCGAGGAAACAGCAATCATGAACCTGGCCCACAGGTCTTTCTGGCCCAGTCCACCCCCATTTTTTTCTCCTACTACTTCCTATTATGCCTTGGCTAAAATATTAAAGTCAATATTTACATCCCTTGAAACAGACTTCTGCCCTGTGGCTTCAGTGTTATTATACTGTGTTGTAAAGCATGACAGGTGTTACTAATAGTTGACTGCAAACTATAAACTATGAATAAACCACACTTCTGGATTTATGAGACTGAAGAGGTAACAGGGCCTAAGAGAGCAAACCTAAGCTCTGGAGTCCAAAGACCAGCGTTTGAGGTCTTCTGATTTGTTAAGTAATCTTCCCTAAACCTCAGTCTCCTTGACTATAAAATAAATTCATTATATCATCTGCCCTTGTGGATTCACAGGATTATTGTAGAGATCTAAGACAACAAGGTCAGTAAGTTATATTTAGCCTTATATTTTGTGAAGGTGGCTTAAATTTGGTGAAACTGAAGTAGAAGGCAATTAAACATGCTCTATCTGCTCTGTCAATATATTTACCAAAAGGCATTATATTTTGGGGTGTTTTTTTTGCTGTTGTTGTTGTTCCAATCCCATCAGCTTCAATTCCTTCCTTCTCCACGCTTTTTCTTTTTTTTTTTTTCCACACACACACACACTGTATTTTATTTTTACTGACAGCAAGCATTGTAAATGGATGACCACAACAAAAGCAACAGTGATTGCGATGACCAAACACGAAACACACTCACGCTGTGTCATAATATTGACATTCAGTCCAGGAATCCTCCACTGTAACAGCTCCTTTAAGTGAATTTGATTTGTATATTTTTTGCCTCTGAGTCCTTGTGGGCTTTTTTTTTTTTTAATTCGAACAGAAAGTCACAAAAATTATAATCATCCTCATCAGTTCACTCAGTCCCACGTAATTAATTTATTTTCATCTTGATCTTTTGTTAGCACTTTTATGAATTCATCAGTTTTCCATTAGAGTTCTGAAAACGCTTATTCATTCAGTTCAGCAGTATAGTCAGTTCCCAGACACCTGTCTCCACGCTTTTTCTACTTTATCAGCACTTCTGATGAAATCATCAAGGTCCCCGCAAAGAGAAGCTGCTGTATGTGCATCACTGACCCTGCTCCTCTCACTCAGTCCAGAGGTTACACACACACCACACATCCTCTCCCACAGACATGAGCTCGGGGACACACCCAAGGCTTTCCATCCTGTTCTGTAACCCTCTAGAAATTCATCTAAACTATCACATATTCAGCCAGGCCCTTGAAGAAGTTCAACTTAATGACAGTGTGTACAGCTCAGGTACAATCTAAATACAAGTAGGCAACTGAGAAATGCTGATCACAGGTCCAGAGTCCTGCCCACACTGTCAGGCACATCTCTCTGGATTCTCTCTTAGCCTCAGGGCTTCAAGAAGAGCAGTGCCCTTCCAGACACAGACAGCTTCCAACTCAGGTTAGCATTCTGGGGAATGCATTTCTCTCCCTAAAGCTTCCAAAAGCCTCAGGCTAATACTTGATTCCTAGCCTATGAATTCCACATCTGAATCTCTAGAATGATGTAGTACCTCTCCAGAGGGTGGTAACAAGGTGTGTTGTCTTTTCACCCTCTGCCCTTGGCTTGGTTCTCACAACTTACGGTCATCTCTGTTACCCAATTTCTCTCAATTTTCTATGTATTTCTATTTATATCTATTTCTCAACAACTTGGCTACTTTTAAATTTCATACACATTTAGATAAACACAGTACTAGTCTTAAAACTTACATATTCATAAATACATTTTTCTTTGAAAAACACAAAACTTCAATAGTCACATGCAGTATGGGATATATCTCCTTAAAGTGCTGGAAAAGTTCACTATCTTGATTTGGGAGGTGGTTAATACAGGGCGCATACACACTCATCAAGCTGTAAACTTAAGATCTGTGCACTTTGCTATATACATGTTATGCCTAAAGTTTTTTAAATGAAGAAAAATCCCCAACAGAGAGGATTCTTCAGAGAGACAGGGACAGAGACAGACACAGAGGGAGGGAGGGAGAGTCTATCAAATACTCACGTTTTTCATTTAGCAAAAGGAAAAAAATCTTATTCTCAGATCAACAGCATTATAACCTCAAGTCTATTTTAAGAGACTAAAATTTTATTTTTACCACTGAAGTAAATTAATGCATCAATTTACTAGAGAATGATTTAGACAAAGAGTCCTCAGAAGTAAAAAGAAACTCATGGCTTTTGTTTGAAATCTATTTCTGTTCACACAATGATTGTATAAATAAAAGTAAACAAAATATTGTATTCAATATGCCCTATGAGACGCTGTACTAGAAACTTCAAATTATATTTTTCATCCATTCAAATATTAGTTGACACCACTGTGTGCCAAGCACTGTGCTAGATACTTCGGAATATACTGTATGATTCTGCAGGCAGGATGGTTTTCTCTCTGATTATATTATGCTTAGTGCAGTATTAAAATTCTTCTAAGTCTGGCAGTTTGAGAAATTCAGGCATTGCTTTAAGAATAATCTACAAAAGTTATCACTGGGGCTTCCCTGGTGGCGCAGTGGTTGAGGGTCTGCCTGCCGATGCAGGGGACATGGGTTCATGCCCCGGTTCAGGAAGATCCCATATACCGCGGAGCGGCTGGGCCCGTGAGCCATGGCCGCTGAGCCTGCGCGTCCAGAGCCTGTGCTCCGCAACGGGAGAGGCCACAGCAGTGAGAGGCCCGCGTATCACAAAAAAAAAAAAAAAAAAAAAAAAAAGTTATCACTGAATTTAAACATCTTATATAAGGATGGATATGTAAAATAGATAATGTGCTCCATTTTAGATAATATGCATTCAGGTACCTGGGCTTAAGAGGTATGCGTGAGAAAATAAAATTATTCTGGCTTTATCTATACAAAACTCTTTCAGCTCACAGAAATCTAAATACAGAAAGAAATGTGGTACAGTATATCAAAGTTAACAATTTACCTTTGCCATTTTCTCTGCCAATTGCAAACGACCATCAAGTTCCCTTCTGATCTGGGCTGCTTGTTCATCTGCATTATCCAACTTAAAAACAAAACAGAAATCACACATACATGATTACTTAATGGCAGTGACCTACAGATTAAAGCAAAGACAAAATGACTCTGAAAAAACTTTATAAATTCTCTCAACTACCTACTGAGAACACAGAAAGTTGTTTAATTAGATCGACACTCTAATTAAATTTCTTGGGCACTTTTCATTGTGGTTTGCTCACAAAAAAGGTAATAAATCTCTAAGGTTAACAGCTCAGCTTACCAAAAAATCTAATTATAATAATTCTTTGCCCAACCTGTCCACAACAGAGCTAAACCAAGAAGTCCTTGTTTCCTTGAGGATGCATTAAGCTGTCATTAAGTTTATTCAGGCCATCCTTCTGCCTTCATTAAGGTCAGTCCTAAATAGTTCAAAATAGATAAATCTCTTGCTTTGTTCTTTCAAATTCCCAGAATGCATTTCTGGATAGTGAGATACTGAGTAATGTTTCACTTTTTTCCTTGATCTTTCAAAAAATATTTCCTTCATTTTTATAATAAGTTTTTACTTGTGCTAAACTATCAAGGCACTATTTGATTGATTGCTATACCTTCTACCATTTAGGTCTTCATATGCTCCTCATTCTAGTACCAACAGGCTCATACTGCCAAGAAATCCCTTCACAGACCGGCACCACGTTAGAATTCTATTCTCTTAATCTAAATTTGATTGAAAGCTTAGCATGCTATCCTCATTTTTATAGATATTTCCACCTACATGGAATATTACTTTAACTTCTCCACTGACATAATCCTTAACTTTTTCTATAACCTCTTTTAACTTTTCCTCATGATTCCTTCTATCTCCCTGTATTAGTTCATTAAGACCTCTTAAATCGAGGCAGTCCTATGGGCCATGCACAGTGTGGGCTGCACTGGGTGGGTTACAGATGTGAACAAGGCCAATGGTTCTCTTTAATTCCTTCCCCTCTCCCACTTCCCTCATTAAGAAGCCTAGACCACACAATACAACCATACTTTAGTAAAAGTCCATCTAAAAATTGGATTAGTACTGAGTACAACATTAAACACCCAGGAGAATACAGATTAACTTGTCCATTTGCTGAAGAACTACAAATTTACCATGTTACATTTTAAAAAATAGCCTTAATAAGAAAAATTCTGAAAAAGATGAGTAGGGGCAAAGCAGGTCAGTAGGATGGTGGTGTCAGAATGTATACGAAGGGTCAAGAAGAAGGGTAGGTGCTCCAGTAAGAGGGCACCAAATGTCTGGAGGTGAGAGCAGACAGTGGTTTGGGGAATGGAATGGGGGGAGAGGGGGAAGAAGGGAAGGTTCATGAGAGATGGGGCTGGAGAGAGAGGTGGGACTACCTTATAAGCCTACTCTTCGCAGGCAAATTAGGGAGGTTGGAATTGGTTCCTACAGCACTGGGATTTCACTGTGAGGTTTTAAGCAGGACTTCGGAAAGGTCACTGTGCCTGTCTCCATCACAAACAGGTTAAGAGGGACATAAGGAAGTCTACCTGTCCCTCTATATCAATCCATCTATCTGTTTGTTTAACAGATCTAAGGTCACCTTCCCAAAAAATGTTCCCAAGTTTATATAAAAAAATCAAATTTAAAAACAAGTTTTTAAATAGCCAAGATTTTCTTAAACTAAATCCTTGTCGTAAAGGAGTTGCTATGTCATCTCAAAAAGAAATACACTTTTTATTTTAATTGATTCATATTCAAAATCAAACAGAAACAAGTCTCTCTGTTCACTGCATCTGAAGTCAAAATGACTTACATTAAAAAGTAACAAAATTATTAAGGAAAAAAATAGATGGTAAATGCCTATTCCAGGTAACCGAAATCAAGGTCCTAAAAACAAAAATTATGTGTAAGAACCCTAACTACAATACCTCAAATACAGTAAACGTAATATGGGGTATCTTCTCATTTTGCTTAAATGCTGATAAATATTTTTCCACAAAAAATAAAATGGTTACTTGCAGTGAAGAGTTACAGTTCCACCAAGAAATAGCATTTAACATCTTAAAACCTTAAAAATTCTCCTTCATATTTCACCACAAAATATTATTTAACATCTTTAACTATTTGTATCTTCATATTAACAGTTCTTATTTAACTTTAAATGGAATTGTTTGAGTCACTTCTGCAGTCTGCAAGTGTTTTCTTTCTCAGAGTTTTCTACTACTTTAAAAGAATATTAATGTCTTAACTGCATTTGTCTGAAAACATACAGACAAAGAAAAGCAGAGCATTACTGTACTGAACTGTCCGTTAATAGCAATCAGAGCCTGAAATGTGACTGATGACTACAGTGCCATTTCTGTGAAACTAGAAAAGCATACTCCCAAACGTGTTTACAAAAAAAAGAGGAAAAGCTAATATAATAAAGACAACCAATAGAACTTTTTACTGGTTGTCTTTGTTTTATGTAATGCTAGACAGAATTCAAGGAGGTAAATCAGCTGGTTAACTATAAGTAAGAATTTTAGTTTACCATTCCATGTGCCATATGTTTTGTTTTCTTTTGAGTATTACGAAACTCAAACACAGTTGAAAGTTTATATAATTTTTATGAATGCTTTTTTTTTAAAACATCTTTATTGGAGTATAATTGCTTTACAATGGTGTGTTAGTTTCTGCTTTATAACAAAGTGAATCAGCTATACATATATATATATCCCCAGATCTCCTCCCTCTTGCGTCTCCCTGCCTCCCACCCTCCCTATCCCACCTCTCTAGGTGGTCACAAAGCACCGAGCTGACCTCCCGGTGCTATGCGGCTGCTTCCCACTAGCTATCAATTTTACGTTTGGTAGTGTATATATGTCCATATATGTCCACTCTCTCACTTTATCCCAGCTTAGCCTTCCCCCGCCCCATATCCTCAAGTCCATTCTCTAGTAGGTCTGTGTCTTTATTCCCGTCTTGCCCCTAGGTTCTTCATGAATTTTTTTTTTTTTTTAAGATTCCATATATATGTGTTAGCATACAGTATTTGTCTTTCTCTTTCTGACTTACTTCACTTTGTATGACAGATTCTGGGTCCATCCACCTCACTACAAATAACTCAATTTCGTTTCTTTTTATGGCTGAGTAATATTTCATTGTATATATGTGCCACATCTTCTTTATTCACTCATCCAATGATGGACACTTAGGTTGCTTCCATGTCCTGGCTATTGTAAATAGAGTTGCAATGAACATTTTGGTACATGACTCTTTTTGAATTATGGTTTTCTCAGGGTATATGCCCAGTAGTGGGATTGCTGGGTCATATGGTAGTTCTATTTTTAGTTTTTTAAGGAACCTCCATACTGTTCTCCATAGTGGCTGTATCAATTTACATTCCCACCAGCAGTGCAAGAGTGTTTCCTTTTCTCCACACCCTCTCCAGCATTTATTGTTTCTAGATTTTTTGATGATGGCCATTCTGACTGGTGTGAGATGATATCTCATTGTAGTTTTGATTTGCATTTCTCTAATGATTAATGATGTTGCGCATTCTTTCATGTGTTTGTTGGCAATCTGTATATCTTCTCTGGAGAAATGTCTATTTAGGTCTTCTGCCCACTTTTGGATTGGGTTGTTTGTTTTTTTGATATTGAGCTGCATGAGCTGCTTGTAAATTTTAGAGATTAATCCTTTGTCAGTTGCTTCGTTTGCAAATATTTTCTCCCATTCTGAGGGTTGTATTTCCATCTTGTTTATGGTTTCCTTTGCTGTGCAAAAGCTTTTAAGTTTCATTAGGTCCCATTTATTTTTGTTTTTATTTCCATTCCTCTAGGAGGTGGGTCAAAAAGGATCTTGCTGTGATTTATGTCGTAGAGTGTTCTGCCTATGTTTTCCTTTAAGAGTTTGATAGTGCCTGGCCTTATATTTAGGTCTTTAATCCACTTTGAGTTTATTTTTGTGTATGGTGTTAGGGAGTGTTCTAATTTCATTCTTTTACATGTAGCTGTCCAGTTTTCCCAGCACCATTTACTGAAGAGGCTGTCTTTTCTCCATTGTATATTCTCACCTCCTTTATCAAAGATAAGGTGACCATATGTGCGTGGGTTTATCTCTGGGCTTTCTATCCTGTTCCACTGATCCATATTTCTGTTTTTGTGCCAGTACCATACTGTCTTGATTACTGTAGCTTTGTAGTATAGTCTGAGGTCAGGGAGCCTGATTCCTCCAGCTGTGTTTTTCTTTCTCAAGATTGCTTTGGTTATTTGGGGTCTTCTGTGTTTCCATACAAATTGTGAAATTTTTTGTTCTAGTTCTGTGAAAAATGCCACTGGTAGTTTGATAGGGATCGCACTGAATCTGTAGATTGCTTTGGGTAGTATAGTCATTTACACACTGTTGATTCTTCTAATCCAAGAACATGGTATATCTCTCCATCTGTTTGTATCACCTTTAATTTCTTTCATCAGTGTCTTATAGTTTTCTGCATACAGGTCTTTTGTCTCCTTAGGTTTATTGCTAGATATTTTATTCTTTTTGTTGCAATGGGAAATGGGAGTGTTTTCTTAATTTCACTTTCAGATTTTTCATCATTAGTGTATAGGAAGGCAAGAGATTTCTGTGCATTAATTTTGTATCCTGCTACTTTACGAAATTCACTGATTAGCTCTAGTAGTTTTCTGGTAGCATCTTTAGGATTATGAATGCTTTCTTAAAGGTTGACTCCTCAGTTGAGATAACTGCAGTTTCACATGCAGTTGTAAGAAATAATTGAGAGATATCCATTGTACACCGCCCAGTTTCCCTCAATGGTAACATCTTACAAAACTAGACCATCATGTACAACCAGAATACTGATACAGTCATCCATCCTATTCCAGTTTCCTTAGTTTTATGCACACTCATTTGTATGGATTTCTATACAATTTATTATCTATCTAGGTTCACTCAGTCACCACAGTCAAGACACTGAACAGTTTTAACACCATATGTTGCCCTTTTATCACCACACCCACTTCCTCCACCCAATCCCCAGTTGGTTAGTTTTATACAATGTACCTCAT